TTATAATTATTATTTGTGTGAATAGAAATTACAATGAAAACTCACATAGTAAAGTATAAGGAAGTATTTGGTATCTTTGAAATGTTTGTTGGTTGGTTGCTATGCAATTATATATCATTTGGGACCATTTGAATTTGCAAATAAATTGTAAACAGTAATCTGTGTTTGGTTGTTATGTTCTAGTTTCTATCCAGTTCATTGTCTTTTGGTTTATGCAGTCCTTCTTGAACTAACAGCACATGATTTCTTAAATTAACAGGCATATGTAATGTTTGAAATTTCTTCTCATTATCAAAACTAATAATATGAAGACATTTCAGTTTTCTTTATTTGATTGCAGCATGGCAGATGGGTTTCATGTGAACTACCCTCATATATTTACTCTTAAGAAATCTGTAGACACACACATATTTTGTATTAAATATTATTTGCAAGTCAGTAATATAAATATGAAAATGATGTTAGCTTAAACTTTAAGTTTATATGAAGTAGATTCAATATATAACATGTATTTAAGTATTTGAAAGAATTAACAGTAACATTAGAGTAATATGTTTGCAGGACTAGAAATCTGTGCAACAGGAGCATAGTCTGTGTGACTTCTGATAGAAATACTTGGTTGCCTTTCAGGCAACAAGGATATAAGGTACTTTGCACATGAAAATGACAGTCTCATTTTGGACAGTAAACCAGATATAGGAGCAGTCTGTAACTTCAGTGTCCTGAGTAAATACAGATACATAGTTTGTGTGACCCAGTTTGGAGTCACAGAAATTAACAAGACTAGAAAGGTGTACTACAAGTTGGAGTACATATACTTCAGTTCTGACACACCTTGTTGTCCTTATTGTCAATGTTAAATATTTGGCAAATCACGAGAAGTTTCAGATAAGAGTTGTGCATCTTAATTAGATCTGTATTTCATGATCTGTTTCAGAGAAAATCAATGAAGACTTTTTATTTATCTTCATGTAAAGTAAAGATTAACTTCTGTCATCTAGGAATGGGAAATTTTAATCCTTGTTACTACAAGGAAGGTGGCAGGATTTTAACTGTAATGATATTCATACTGAAGAAATGTGAAATGGCTGAACTGCGCATATGCACTGTTGTAATAGTGCAGTGCATGGCCAGTAATGGGTAGTTGGAACATTATGAACCAAAATTAAAATGTCGAACAGATTTCATTGAAGGTACCATTTTTTATGCTAGTGGGGTGGACCCCCTCATAGGTGTCTCCACCGTATCGTGGTGAGGGGGTTTGAGTATGCCAAGGACCCTGAGAGCTATACCAGTGGTAGCATAGCTACTGGCAGGGCCTCCCTTGCTGGACAGGTCAAAGGGTAGGCATCAAACGAAGAGAGACACCAAAAACTGATGCCGGAAGCAGCGTCATCAGTAGCGACTTGAAGCGCAGAGCAAATGATGCTCGAGATGGTTCAAGTTCGTATAGCAACAGGCGTGACCAGAGTGGTTTGAACGGGTGCTGTACTGCGATGTGGAAAGCAAATGGAAAAACTGATGAAGAAAGCAGTCTTCTGGGATTTGGCACCGTGTATATGTGGTGTTAACCGACGTTTCGGAGGAACGTATCGCCTCCATCTTCAGGGTAGAAGAAAAAATATAAGAAATCTGCAAAACGATCTCACGGTCTCTTCGCTTTGCAGATTTCTTATATTTTTTCTCCTACCCTGAAGATGGAGGCGATACGTTCCTCCGAAACGTCGGTTAACACCACATATACACGGTGCCAAATCCCAGAAGACTGCTTTCTTCTTATTTAAAGATGTTTTAATAATGCCAT